TTCCTCTTTACTCATATAAGAATTAAGTAATACAATGCAAAAGAAATTGAATGAGCTCGCGTGGTAGTTACTAACGAGTTAACAATACTTATTTATTTTTGTGTCTGAATACAACAATATTTTAAATATTTACAAATATTTAGCAATGACTTTTATATGAAAAGAGGTTATGCAATACAGACATTGAATACTTTTTCTCATGAAATGTAAGATTAAGTCATCTGCTTAATCAGCCATTAAAAGTCAATATGGGCACGGGCAGAATCGTTTTGACCTGAGCTTGTAAGACAAACCTATATCACTGGTTTTAACACTTCTTAATCTTCAAGAACATTCCTTCTTTAGTAATTCCAAGAATATTACGTGAATACAATTATTGCAAAGAAATTGAATGAGCTCTACAGCTTGTAGTTTACTAACGAGTTAACAAAACTTAAATTATGCTTTTGTGTCTAAGAATACAACAATATTTTAAATTTACAAATAAAATATCAAATTGGAGCCTCACCAGTTTAACATTTGAAGATTGGAATACTAATTGTTGTTGCGAAGTCAACCCAGGCTGCTCTGTTGGTTTTCGTTAGTTTCAGGTTCTCTTTACAGGTTCTCTATGAAAGCACCTTAAACCAAATAGCTCCATTTTTTCTATGTTCAAATAACAACTAACCTTTAAGCGCACTTCCAACGTGAAGTTATAGCAAAACCGAATACTAGAAAAACCGATTATAGATCATCCGTTTAAATCTCTTAACTGGATGCAGAAATTATAATTAAAAATATGACACCGTAATTATGAAATAAAGAACAATTATGATCTAAAGGGTATAAAAAAAAAAAAAAAAAAAAAAATATTCATTTGTTGACTTTATTAATCATTTCTTTCAATGTAAGTTGTCAAGTTGCTTAGTTTTAGTCATATACTTTCTCTTAATTCTATCAACAGACAAATTTTTTTTTAGTTACAATTCTGCTGTTACAAGTCTACAATTGCTGTGCGAAAAGACTAATTTGCAATCGAAATGTTTTGTTTTCAATAACCTCTGTGTCCACTTCGGTCACTATCGGAAGCGAATTATAATGAGGAGGAATTTGATTTAAATCTATCAAGACGGAGTACATCGAGATGAAATACTACATTTAGAAGGAATTATAAGCCAAATAAAATAAAACATCTGCCTGAAATAAGGATAGTGTTGACAGATCAACTTCATTCATGCGGCCCCGCGGCAATCTATCCAAAGCCGCAGAGCAGCGTGAAATTGTAAACAGATTTCGGATATGGTAGATACGAAGGATGCATTTATCCATTTTTTGCAGCATTCCACTTTTTATTAATGGACTTTGAAATTCCTTTCGCTTTGTAGATCCTTGTATATTAGAATATATATCGAAATTCTATTGACATAATCGAAAGTTCAAGCTTCTTTTATAAATTGCTCTAACAGTCTGCAAAAAATAGCCGGATCCATTCGAAGTTAAGGAACAATGCATCTGCACATAACTGAATTAAATTTTAGCTTGCTTTACCGTCCGTTATACATTAAACGCGGCATGTAAATGTTATGGCATGTGCACACGCATATTCGCAGCATAAGTCTTAGCACATGCGTCAAGCGAGCAAGAGTTTGTAGCTTTGAGGTCCGGATTATGGGTGTCCGAATTAACGACTTTTGACTGTAATACGTAATGATTGCTGGTTTGGTCACTAATCCATAGATACAGAAGATACCATTAATTAAATTAAAAAATAAGCTTTTTCTTATGTTTGACTAATATGAATATCAAACATCCCAACACAACATTTTCCCTCTTATGTCAATGGAAATCTTGCAGAAGAAATATTATAGGTATTTTAAATGAATGTAATACATAGGTGCAAAACTTGAAATATGAAAAACTAGGGAGGTTTGCATACAAAAAATAAGTTTCTGGAAGTTTTCATGCTACACAGCAATGACATTTCAAAACAACTCCAAACTGATATAAAATATATTACTACTTAATTAGATATTCTAAATTTTACATTCTCTGGCTAATTTTACTTTTAACTTTCTTATACTCTTACATTAAGAATATCCTCAGTAATTTGAAAAAGGGAAGAATTTTTATTTTTTAATGCACTTTTAGATATGATAGAAATAAAATGAATAATTATTGTATATACTGTTAACATAGATAAACTTAATAATGTACCATAAATTGATACAACATAAAACTAAATATAAATACTAACCAATTAAACACTAGGTTGAATCTTAAGTGCTACAAATGTCTACAGTAGCTATATCCACCATAGGTATATTTATAAAAATTTCTTTATTTAGCCAGATACATTTCTTCCACAGAAAGAACAGCGGTTCCTATTCAAATGCCAAGTGATAAAACCATCAAATCTCATAGTTCGGATTAAGTTTAATCATATAGAAAAGACAAATGCATACACCAGTGTAGCATTTCATTGCTAGCCTGACATTTTAAGAATATGAAAGAAACACTTCAATCAGAAAAAAGGTTACATATTTCTAAAAAAATATCTGAAAAAGAATTAATGCAAGGAACTAAAAATTCATTTAAAAAAAGGGGGGGTGGGGGACATGCAAACTTAGTTCACAATACATTGTACATATCAAACTGTGATTTTATTACAACTAAAAGCATTTGAATTTTACTTTTAATACATAAAAAATTATAATTTTAACTATGTTTTCTAGTTTAAAATTTTGATGCCATTAAGTTTCAAGCTTAAAATACATTAGATAAATATAAAATGTTATTAATAATACAAAAATTAAATACTAAAATATTTATTACACCTTAGTAAAAGAGTACTTGAATACAGGCATTTGCCTTTCAAGTACTCTTTTACTAGGGCCAGTGTACAGATTCTTTGATTAAAGAATGCACATGTTATTTATACTGTGTAACAGTAAAGTATAAAAATGTTTGAATATGAAAGTATAAAAACACTTGAATTCAGTATTAAAATGTTTTTTTTTTTATTACATCTCTGCTGAACATTTTTGCAGTGATTTGATGCCATGTAAACTGAAAGTAGTTTTGAACAAAAGATGTGCTATGCACAAACTAAACAACATGTTGTATTTACATATATTTAGACTATAAATATCAGCAAATTATTAAATTCAACATGGCCAACCCTAAAAAAATAGATTAAAAATGCTATAGGTGAATATTTCTTGGTTATAATACTACAGCAGCCAAGCTTCTTAATATGTGAGAACAAATGCTAATGTCAATACACATGAGGAAATATACTGCTTCAAATCTTTATTTTAATCTGTAGCATAATTCTTGCTGCACACAACACACTGTCTCCTCAAATCAGATTTCACTGGCCAATGAGACGATTGAGTGGTTGGAGAAACAATCGTAGGCAAATTATTCCTATCACATGTTTGAAAAATTTGAATTAAATTCATTCAAAAACTTCTGTGATCAATCTTGTTTCTCTCTTTGAATAATATATATATGCGTTTAAAACGGCAATGTTCAAGAAATAGAAAAAGAATTTTTTTGTCCATTTTTGAGACTTTCGTGAAAATCCGTAGGAATTGGCCGTTCTGTCGCTGAGGTCGACATATCCCATATTTTTGTTATAATCATGAATGAGTGAAGGTTTTGAAGTTCTTTCACAATTATTCGTAACTGGAAGGAGTTCGCTGTCTCGTTCATGCATAGAGCTTAAAACATAAACTTCTCTTTTATCTTTCCCAGCAGGCCATTTGAAATTTCACATCCAAATTACCTGCTTTTCTGGCCGTCAAATCCTTATGTAAATCTTTTCATCGGATCTGCACTGTTCCACAGCAATTTATCTTATAATTATTTCTTAGTTCTAGAAAAAGTTGAGAAGTAGAAAAGAAATTATCTATAAAGAGGGAATGCCCTTTCCCTTTCACATGTTTTGCTAAATGTAAAACAACAGATTCTGATGAGCTTCAATCTTCAAATCTTTCGTCTTTATCTTTCCCTAAATAAACTTTCATGTCATATGTATAGGCATTTTCGTCATACAGTTTATAAATTTTTAATCCCCAGCATTTATGTTTTTTAGGGATTTACTGATGGAAAATTACCTGACCTTTAAAAGTCGCGATCACTTCATCAACTGCCAGATATTTTTTTTAACTGATTTAAAATTGCAGTTAAGTATTTCAAATACTTCTCGAAGTTTCCACAAGCAGTCGTAATCAGAATTTGTCTTCGATGGCGGTGTTTCATTATTCGCAAAATGAAGAAAACGTAATATTTTTTTTAAGTGGTTATGAGCCATGATTTTTCGGAAAATGAACTATGCAAATTTTCTATAAAATATACTATATTTTTATGATACAGAAAAATATATCAAATCATAAAATTTGGTTTGTGGGGGAGGGGGAGTGCAAAACAGCAAATGAAAACTTGACAATACCATGACAATAAAATAGTTAATGAAATGTTAATATAACTTAAAAACTATCATTTATATATAAAAATATTCACTTGTATATATATATATATATATATATATATATATAATCTCCCTTGTATTTCCCTAAAACTTTTTATTAGTACATGATTAGGAAGTTCCAATTTATAGTAGCAACATACAAAATATGAAGAGTCTGAAAGTAATAACCATAACCAACTTCTTTCAAATACAGAATACAATAACATCAGTACATCTATTCATATAGGCTTTTTAATTTTCCAAGTTTGTCCTCTATCTTATTTAAAATTTATAAACTAATCTATATATATATTTTTTAAATTCTTCCCACATACCACTTTCTTCAGTGAGTTTTGTTTGTAAGATTTCTGTTACAATTTTTAATTTTGCGAAGTAACACCAATACAGAATTTTGATGTTTATTTCATTTTTATTATTTAAAAAATTCAAACACAATTTATTTGCTATAGGCAAGTAATTCTAGTGTTAATTCATATAAAAGATACAGCTAAATAATAAAAAATTACTAAAAAAAGAAAGTTCTACTTACCTCATCAAAATTTGGAAATTTACCCACTTTCAACTTTGAAAAAACTTCTTCATCATTTATTATGATTTCAAATGAAGCTGTATAAAATATAGTTTACATCAATATGCTACATCACTAAACTAAGAAAATTAAACATATGCAAGACTACAATTTATCTACACAATATCATACCAATACTTAAAAAATCAAACCACTTTTCTGTACTTTATTAATGAACTGTTACACTAAACTCAGTGGTGCAACAGCCCTAGTGGGCCATGGCTTGCAGTGCCCTGAAATCTGCTTTCTTGACCTTGGGCCCCAGAGTGCATCAGCATATGCCCAAGTCAAGGGCAAGTGGTCAGCTTGTTGCAGGACCCCTGGTGTTTAGTTTCCAAGCAAACTTCATACTTACTCGCTTTATTGACCCATTCAAGGGACGAAAGGCTGAGTCAACCTCGCACAGCCCGGGTATTGAACCCTGGACCTGTGGTGCAGCTGCATGACACCCTAGCCACTAATAGTTACACAGCTCCCTCATTTAATATTTAATAACTGAAAGCTTTTTTTTTTTTTTTTTCATCCTGCACCTTTAATTATTTGAACTAATAAAATTAAGATTATAGGTCTCTGTCCTTGAAGAAAGTTACTATGATCAAGTCATGTATATTCTGAACATTCAAGATAATACATTTACTAAGTTGATTTAGCATCTAGTGATCAAAGTATGAATTTGTCATGATATATGCCGGGAAACCTACTGCACACATACTTCTGTTACAGCACATCTAAATCCACACACACGCAAAAAAAAAAACTGCTTGATTAATTAGTATTAAAGCACCATATAGCTAAAAGTCAGATGAAGGCTCAAGTCATAGACTTAATTATTAAGTTGACACTCTAATTAATTGCATTAATTTGGTCATATAACTCGTATACAGTTTGTTGCAGAATCAATATGAATTCCCTTTTTTCAGGGAAAGGGGGGTCATAATTTTAAATTTGTAAGTTCATGTTTTAATAAACTGAAACCTAAAAAACAAAATGGAAAAAATGTAGAATGCATACTTTTATTATGCAATATTTTATATGAAATGTACAATACTTTACATAAAAGAGAATTTGCATCAGAGACATATTGAAAAAATTAGAGCAGAGATGTCCATAACGGGTTTTGGCTCACACTGCCATTTTAATAAATCACACTCAGTAGAAAATATCCTTACTACTATAGTTCTAGGAAGTACGTTTTCTTTAAACGGATGAAAATGTAAATTGTTATAGGATAGTTTTTCAAATAATAGTGAGTAACACAAGTAAAATGAAGGGTTCATTGATTTTCAGTACATTTCTGCATCTGTGTTCAATATGGCTAGATATTGTTGATTTAAACGAGAGATTTCTAATGCTTTTCTTGCATCAACTTCTTACACATTGCTCAAAACAATTAGAGAATATTATAATTTTGGATATAAATTGCAGATCAAGAAATGTTTTGGTGACTACGTGCTATAAGATATGAAAAAAGAAAAAGCAGCAATGAATAAGGAATAATTAAATTTTATTAATGGTATTTGTTAGTAAACAAAAAATGCAATTTATCGGATACAGATGAATTTCAATAAGGGGTATGGATTCCTGACTGAAAACAATGTTGAATACCTAAGAGAGGAATGGAATAAACAGGTTCCCAATGAGAAAGTGTGGTAAGAAGTAGAAGATAGTTTTCAAACTGCTGAATTGTTTCTGGATGTGATAAGTAATTAGCAACCCTACTCTATAGAATGTCCCATACATGTTCTATTAGGTTCATACCAGGAGAATGTGTTGGCCAATGCATTGAAGGATTCCATCAACAAAAAGGAAATGGTGCACTAGCTGAGCACAATGTAGCTTGGTATTATCCATGAGAATAAATTCATTCTGATTATGTGCAAGCCATTCATAGAAATACTGACTCAGACAATCACTCTGCCTCCATCAAACTAGACACTTTCATGTACAAATGTTAGAGTATTCCATGTACCAGGTTCTCTTCAGATTCTGCCTATTATTAGGTTGTACAATAAAGTAAGACTCATCCATGAAGAGCACATTGCTCCACTCATCTTGTTCCTATCTGAGATGCTTTTGTGACCACCTTCTGTGGGCAGCACGGTGGTTATGTGTCAATGAAACACAAACCATACATCTGTGAGCACAAAACCCCACAATATGGAGTCTGTTTTGAACAGTTTGTATCGAAACTCTTGTAACAGTATCCCTCTGAAGATACTGTTGCAAGAAAATGGCATTCATAGTGTAGTTTCTTCTGGCTATTAGTGCTAAATACCAACCCTCATTTTGTGTTGTTGCAAGCATACGACCTTGCACCGATTTTCAGGGAACATTTCCAGTTTCCAAAAACTGATTCTACAGTGTGGAAATGAGAAACTCCTAAAGCTTCTGCTACAGCAGGTTGTGTTTTACCTCTAAATGACCGACAGCCCTCCAGGCTACTGATTGAGCTATTTTATCTTGCTGAAACATCGTATTCATTGATATAAAACATTCAGCATGTGTTAATTGTTTTTAATTTCCTCCCACAGAAAAAATGGCTGCAGATCACTTTTCACTCATCTAAAACATAGTTTTGACGTCACAGATAAAATTTGCATATTTCGAACTTTGTAAATATCTTAATTTTCCTCTCTAACCTTGTTTATTTCATTTTTGTTAAAAACATTGTCGATTACATGATTATTTTATACCAAACACACAATATCCTCTAATTGTTTTGAGCTAGAATATTCACAATTAGAATATGAAAAAATATTTTGAAAAAAAAAAAAAAAAAAAAAAAAGGTTTATTATTTTTTGTTTTATTAATTTTACAAAAAAAAAAAAAAAAAAAAGTCTTCAAAAATAAAATCACAGACTGTAATTGGTCAAAATCAGTTTTAATTAATGTGATGTATTGACATAATTTTTTTAATATTTGGCATAAAATTGTTCAACTTCATTCTTTAATTACCGTAATTTCCGGAAGAAAGGCCGCATCAGCGTAATCGCCGCACTCGAGAAAAATGGCGGAAAAAATTAAATTACAATTAGACAAAACGGCGCATCATCGCCGCAATAGTTAAATTGCGCGTGACATCGTCGTGGGCCGTATAGATGCAAAAACTGAACCTAGATAATTGACATAACATAACTGTTAAATAAAAAATGCATGAAATGAAACCAAACTCAAAATAAATTAAAGTTTATAGCTAGTCTGTACCGTTAGAGAAAATTTTTCACGCGCTGCTCCGCAAATGCCTCCAACAATTAAAACAATGCGCAGAGATCTATTTACTCAAACAATGGAACGTTTAGGGTGAATATGTAATCCTGAATGAGGGGAAAAAAGTTCAGTTCGGGGCACGTCGTTCGAGTTTGTGGAGTCTTGTCCGGCAGGGTGGGGAGAGGATGGGGTCTTGGGTCTTCGAAAGGAAGGCAGAGGAGAGACTATTCAAATGTTTATTTGAAATGGGGAAGAATGTTGTTTGTTCTCTCTTTAGTTTAGGAGGGTGAATCGTCATGAATGTTCAAGGCTTCGTAAAAACTATGTGCCCTTTGGTGTGTGTGGTCTAGCACAATGCCATAATGGCCATGACATGTAACAATTTTTACCTAGGAAAAACGCCGCATGGGTTATAACAAAGAGAAAATTTAAATTTAACGTAAAAGAACGCCCGTTCTTCCGGAAATTACGGTATCTAGTTCAAAAATATTCAACCCATTTGCTATCTTCCATAACAAATTACTGAACTGACTAAAGCCTGCTTCTACTACGTAAGAAAGTGAAAACATCAATAATTTTGGTTTGGTAACAACTTTTATTCTGAAACATTTCACTTGGAAGACTTTTAAGTTCAAAAAAATTAGCAGGTCCATGTATTTAGAACAAGACTTTTGCTTGAAAAACATCCTCCTTAATGTATTATGTAATATTGTTTTTTAGTTTCAATTTATCAGTTATTTACTGCTTCTTAATTCAGTTTTTTATTTGTTCTGTTAAAAGTAATTGTTGAAAGTTAATTTTTTTTGTAAGGTGTAATTATTAACTTTAAATTTAAGTTTGCTAGTGTTCATCTTTTTATCCTTTAAAGTTAAGTTTAATTTTTAACTTTTAATTTTTTTCTTGTTAAAAAAATTAGTTATCTGGCTTTATTTGTATTGTTTGTTACACTACTTTGGTGTGTAACTTTAACTAGTTTTTGTTTAATATTTACCCCTCCTCCTCGTAAGTTTTTATGAATCTATATTTTCTGACTCTGGTGATGTCAACAGGTGTTGAAGAAACGTAATTTTTTAGAAATGATTACTCAAAGTGTATCCTAAATTTCAGCTCACACCTTATTAATATTAATTAAGGATTTAATCTGCTTGTGCGTTTGCTAGTATTTATTTTAATAAGTAAAGTTAATTATAGTTGGTCAACTTTTTTAAATCGAGTGGGGTTAATTTATGCAAAACTCAAATATTTTTTAGCCTAGCTTAACTGCTTGAGAAATTATTCATAATTAAACATATATTTTTAGCAGAATTGGTGCAGATTTTCTAACTTGGAATTTTCCACTTAAATGCGCAGTTTTTAAGCTTCCAGAGTTGATTTCTGACAGGTGATGTATGTTTTCCCCACCCATTCCCGGAAGGGGGAATCTTCCCACAAAAAGGGATATTTGCCCTGGTGAGTTTTTTGGAGTGAAAATTTAAAAGGTTGAATTGTTATTGAAAAAGATAAAATTTTTTATATTGTTTTGGTATTTGTTCTTGGTGTGGCTGCCGATTTTTCTCATCTCTTTTGGTGAATTTTTGGGAATGTGGAAAATTTCCGATTACAATCCACTTGCATGCTCGTGACAGAGGGAGATGGTTCACAAAAACTTCTGGACCAGCTGATTGAAGTAGCATAAGAATGCTTCAGCGAATTTGATTTTGCACCTACGATTTTCAACTTTATTAAACTCCTGCCTTTGGGGAGTCAACCAGCTAAGTGCCTATCCTTCATAGCCCAGTACTACATGTACATGACGGGAGTAAACAACTGGCTTATTTGCTGTTGCATCTG